TAACAAGTTAATACTTGCTTTGATAATTTTCAAATGATATTGTTTTGCAATAAATTGCTTTTCAAAAAACTCACAAATTTATATATTTTTTAAATAAACTAACAATAAAAATAAAGCGAATATAATAATCGTATATTCTAACCAACGTTTTTGGATGTATTTCTCGACTTTTAATGGAAAGTAGTGAATTTTTTACATTTTTGGTCCAATTGGGTACCTTTTAGAGGCGTTTTCAGAGTCCAGACACAAAAATATAAAAAAAAAAACACATTTTATTGTAAAAACAATCCCTACTGAGCTTTGCGTTTGAAGCTAAAATCGTGTAACATCTTATATTTTCCCATAGTAGAAAAACCTACTGATTTATCTGTAATAATATGTTATGTATTGTACAATAGAAACTGTGGCTATCCCGAAAACTGCTTTGTGGCCTATTCCTAGTTAAATTCCAATTTGGAAATTAATTAATCATGTTGCGGTGTATCGTCTTAATCAGTGGACTTTGACTTACCTAAACGGAACGGCAAATATTAAACGAGAAGGTATTTCCGCACAGACAAAATACATTTGTCTTCGGTACCGTCTTATCGACGTAGGTAATTTACCAATGGGTAGTTTAGCATTAAATGTAGACTATTTTCAAGAAACCAAGAAAAAGGAAGGGTATAATAATATGTATATTCGCTTGTAATACCGCAGTTGTGTGTGTGTGTGTGTGTGGTACCTTCTCCGTTAACGATTCCACCTTCTTGGGAGTCGATATGGTACTAAAAAGGTAATAATATTATACGATTTGTGTAAGAGACTACCTTTTCAAAAGTCACCTAAGATGCTATCCTAAGCATTCCATAAATTGAAGTACATGTTAATCATTTTTGTCGACGAAAACGCGTTTACTTTACAGATTTATGAAATTCATGGCGAAATGAAATTCAAATAAAATCACATACTTACTTAAGAAAACCGCGAGTTCGCGTAATACCCGTTTAAGAGTTATTTGCGAAAAATACAAATACAAAAGCTTTGTACAAACAAAGGATTTTCGCATTATGTACCTATCTACAAATTTAATTTTATAATCGGCTCAATAAACAAAAACGCAGAATCAACGCCTTTTTGAATTCGAAAAAAAAAACATGACCTTTCAACATAGGAAAATATACAAGATGTATTTTCGTACTTACTCTCTCCAAGTATTAAGTGTGTTATGTGTCATACTGATTTGACGGGTACAAATTCAATTTTGTGATAAAATACCTAATTGGCGGCTAATCGCTTAAAATACTTTTAAAACCTAACCTAGACTTGGACAATGTGAAAAATGTACTAAATACTGTTTTGGTTTAGTTCAAAGTAGTCTGTTTAGAATATTGTTTTTTTATTTATTTTGATACAATACAGAAGTCAGTTTTTGACGGTTGAAGTTACTTTTGAAGTATCGAGAAAAATGTAATCTACTTATATATTTTTTTAAAGAACAACTTAAGGAAAGTAAAATAACCTTTTTTTTTTTTTAATAACCTATTTTTGACATTCATATCGTATTCACTTGTTTATAAAAAATTATTATTTTATAAAATGAATTTCTTAATCTACTTGTTTTTCGCTTTCGGATAAAATGTTCGTCAACGTTTAAACTAATATTGTTTTTATGTTTTCTGAATGATTTGAATGAAATAACATTTTTGACAGTTGAAAGAAAATTTTAAAAAATGTCAACAATTAATAACGAAAATCAAATAATTTGTGAAATATATTATATACTTTCACTGGACACAATTGTTTTGGAACAATAATTGAAAAACGTCTATTATAAACGTTCATATTTTGCTTAAGCGCATTACATTTTGGTAGAAACGTAGCATGTCTTTTATTTACTAGGGCAATCCCAGTAAACACCATTGTGGCATTGTGACCAAAACATGACAAATAGATATTTATATAATTTAGGGGTTAAAACCATAGTGGTGTAAGTCACATTAACCTTAATTAAAGAAAACAAGGTTAAATAAAATATCTTATATTGTGCTGTCATCTAGTGGTGTAGGTTTGAGCTACGACTTCCTTCAATTTGGCTTGTCTGGTACCTAACTGATTAGTTAGTAAGTGAAAATAAATACCTCTCAAGTGCTAACATATTTTAATGCACTATTATTATTCGAAGTACGTTGTTTGAGAAATAAAGTTGAGTTAATAAGTGATAAATATAAATTGAATTATTGTTGAATTCAACGATTTCCATTGATTTTATTTTTTAAATTCGGTTTTCTTAAATTTAATTTTTGTATTTGACGTCTAAACATTTAGTATTTGATAATACAAGTTTAAATTTATGTATTCAATTTTTCATTACTCAAATTATACTAATATTTAGCGGATGACATGAGGCATTCACAATTTTTGTGTATAATTAGTTTTGAAACTAGGACTAACATATTAAGTTATATATTTTTTTTAAGTACCATCTATAAAAGTTTAGCGAATTTTCCTTCTACATATTTTATGTGAAAATATATTATAAATTATCCAAATCCAATATTTTTAGGCGTTATTCTACTTGTTAAGGAAATTTGTAGAGAATACACATTATATTATCTCTAATAATATCTGTAAATATTATGAACTATCATTTATCTATTCAAATAGATAATTGCTATAATACATTCACATTGTATTAGTTATAATAAAAATGCGCAACAACAATTATTAAGAACGATTTTGTCTTAATAATTATGATAAACATCATAAAAATGTAAAATATGTATATATTTGATAAAAAAATTATATATATATTTTATAAACCCTCAATGACAAAAAATAATACAATTTTTGATTCTTTAGACACAAAGTATGTATTTGATCATATTTTATACTTATAAAAATGATATTATTGACATAATTCTTTACAAAACTTAAAAATGTTGTTGAACTATACAAATTTCTAATTTATATACCAACTCAAGGAAAGTTTAACTCCTACGCCCCACAATTCTAATATTTCAACCTTATAGCTACATAATTTGAATGGTTAGATAAGCGTAGTGTGGTTTATGTAAAAGGTATGTAAGCAAATTAGGTTTAGAAAATCATGTATCAATCGACTAAAATTTAATTATATTTTTAAAAATATTAGTATATATTTTTTTTTTTTTGAATTTATGGTGTTTCGAGCTTTTTGAGTTTTTTGCTATCGGTAGTGCTCACGATTATTCATTATTGCAGTCTCGAAATTAGTATGAAAAGTATTATCGACTTAAAAAAAAAGGTATCCAATAAAGTAGATTTTCACCCAAAATGGTATTACATTTAAAAGTTGTTGAGAAAATATGTAAAGTATGATAAAATTACTTACATTTTTTATCCTAAGAACACAAAACATTTTGTGGAGTTATAAAAAACATAAAATATATTTTGTACTTACTAAAAAAAAATAATTAAAATACATTACTGGATATCTCCATACCATGGCCTTCAAAAACCGATCAACATGATGCACTGCATATTGATTAAATAAACCAATTTCCATTATTTTATACAATACACTATTGCATTCATAGTTATTAAATTTCATTATTACATAATACATTGAAATTTGAATATATATATATATATTATATAGATATATAATACCTATTACTTATTAAGTGTTATATTATCTATTTATTGTTCTAATAATACATTTAATAGTTCGTGTTAGTGCTGTTATAGACTGTCAGCGTTCCAGAGTAATATGTTTACATTTAGTTGATTAGTAATTGTCATCTTCATAAGTTTATTTATTAATAATTTAAATTCAGAAACGAAGGAGGAATAATTTTTGGGGTGTTAGAATGAGGAGGTTGTTGAGTTAGGATTGAAAAAATGTAGGTGTCTCTTATATTGGGATATCCTGAACGTGCCCTATCATCGGAGTTTTTTAACCCTAATTAAATAGAACTGTAGTTTACATCTATCTTAAATTATATTTTTATGTGGACTTTATTTACCGTCGTGAAGTCTTTGCAGAAAGACAATATTACTTGTTGTTAAATTAAATAATTAAGTAAAAAAAATTAATATTGTTATTTAGTGTTTAAGTTTTAAAAATTAAACCGTTTAAAAATTAAAAGAAGTTATAATTTATAGTCACGCCCCTGACTATAAGATTACTTATATTTATTTAAATATTTGTATTTAACAAAAAAAAACTGTCATTATTTATCTCAGACTTCTAGTAATAACCACTTTTAACAATTTGTATAGGGTTTATGTAAATAAATATTATATTGTGGCATATTCTTTTTGAGATCTGAACCATGAGAGCAAATAAATCGCCACATTATAAAAAAAACAAGTAATTTAGAACATTTTAAAGACTGAAGAGTAAAAACAAATTAGAGGAAAGAATATTATAGCTTTATTAAATAAATGTTTAAATCAATATAACACACTCATTTCATTTAATTTATGGTTAGCTGCATACAAATAAGTTTTAGATAGGCGTAGTATGCTTTTTATGTAAGAGGTATGTAAACAAATTTGGTTTATAAAATCATGTGTATAAATCAACTAAAATTTAATTATTTTATAATTTTCATAGTTATTTATATATTTGTTTGAATTTTTGGTTTTTGGAGCCGGTGGAATTTAATTCTACCGCGTCGTTTTTAATCAGGTTCCACAAATGATTCAACAGATTGATTGAAAAATAATAAAAGTCCTGGATCAGGTATCAAGTGGTTTTCAGAATTGTTTTCAAAATTGGCCAAGACTATTGCTGGTATATTTGGAATTCTTCTACGTGTATAGTTTCTTAAATGAGCTGCGTTTCTTCCGTGTATAGATGAAGTTAAGTTATCAGGCCATTTATTTGGTTGACTGTTCGTAAGGAGACCTTCCAAAATAGCAGATGGACAACTACTATAAGCCAATGCGGTCCTTGCGGCATTCTTTAAAAATAAAAACGGTTAAACATGGTTTTGAATAATGTATTTTATAAAAAAAATTACTATTCGTCTATCACTAGGTGTTTTATCCAAAAAAGACCAATTTATATAATCCTGACGTTGTAAGGATTCTAGCCAACCTTCAATTGTTGCATGCGGTGCCGGTGCTTCGGCCTAAAAAAAATTATACGGTAATGAATTTGAAAAACAAATAGGTACTGACTAAGTGCGGTCAGATAAAATATATTTTACAGTCTGCATGTTCTTTTAACGGTAATAACTTGATAAGCACTTATTCTCCACAAAATGTATTTATTATTCAAATAATGTACGTATAGTTTTGCATTTAATCGTTTAGTAAAGTTAAGTATGTATCAATTTTAAATTAATATACAGGTGTCTCACAAAGACAAATGAAATAACTTTTGCTCTAGTGAATATTTTTAAGATTTTTTTTACTGCACTTAACTAATTTACTTTTTTAAATAATTGTTTGTACCACAATACTACAGTCTTAAACTTGCTCGTGTTCAGTGATTTATTTATTATTATTATATTTAATAAATAATTATAATATTTATATTGATTTAGAGTGTGTACTTATTTACTTCCACGCCATACACTAACCAAAGCATAATTATTATCCAAATGGCCATGCTCGTCCGTCTGTAACAAAAAAGAAGCCATTACAGTGGGTTTGGTACCCGAGGACACGGATCATATTAGGGGGCAGGGGGGGGTCAGAGGTTAATATGAATTATTACTTCTGAAAGTGATATAATTCTTATGTTTGCTGTAGAAACGATGAGATTAATTTCAATTAAAGTGTGATTTTAAACTTTTATTGTTTTTCCTTTAAAAATTAATAGTTTGAACCTACGAATTTTTGAGAAAATTGCAAAATATGTTATTGACTGGACTTGCATTATTGAACATTCACGGGGACATGGACATATCGATATTGAAAAAGCGAATCAACGTTTCTCCAAAAATAAAAGAAAACTACCATTTGCAATAATTTAAAAACCATAAGACCTAAGAAATCAACCAAACTTAAAGTTGTACATTTGATTGGAATTTATTATAAATTATTAACTATAATTAAATTTAGTTTAAATGAACATAAAGTAATGTAATTAAATATTTTATAAGCAATAAAATATTTTTATTCGAGTAACTTAAATATTTTTAAAATGTCTTTTTGTTTAATTATTAAAATACAATTTTAAATTATGTATTGAGGTTGACTGTAGGATCTAAACGCTATAATGAAAAATAACGATAATTGCGAAAACAGCCCCTCCCCTATCACTACCCCCCTCCCTATCAAATGACCGGAGACTACGTTTTTGATGTCATAATATGATTGTATATGGTACCAATTTTAAAGTTATAAGTAATTTTAAAATTATCATTTTCAAGGACTCTAATTGTTAGTATGGATAGAACTAAATAACTCGAGGTATTTGGCATTTTTTACTAAAGCTTTGTGATGCTTGTATTTTTTTTTTTTTAATCCGTCGTATGAATGAATACATTCTTATGTATACTTTGAGTAAAAATAAATTAATATTTTGCATTTTTTAGAGAATTTTAGAGTTTTAGTTGATTTACCACTAAAATTCGAACCTTAAATTTTGTTTTAGTTTTTTACAATTTTGTTTTATAATATAACAAATTATTTATACTTGTTGCCGGATAATTATAATTTTACAAACTTAACCTAGATTATCAAAATCGACATCAACGCTCCTTGCAAAACATTTTGTGGAGTTATGAAAAACATTACTTATATTTTGTACCTACTAATTAAATTACATTACTCGATTATATTTACCTGTGTTGAAGAATTTCTCCCACTCGTTTGAATGCAACCAGCGTTTACTAAAACTTCAAAACACGGCAACAAAAGTATAATTTTCCAAATCATTTTTTTTTGTTTATCTACTGTGAAATATCTTGACAATAATTATGAACAACTAGAAAAGTGAAAGTCTGGTACAGCACTGTGCTGAATTTAAATGCTTTCCTTGCTATATGACTCTTCAGTTTGTTTTGCGGGTAAGAAAAAAGCCACGGTATGTTTACAGATGGCCTTGGTTAAATACAAACATAATTTTGATAGGCACAGCCTATGGTTTTTTTGTTTTATCAATAGATATCGTATACAGAGTGATTCTTTTAGCGCCCTACACTACTTTTCTAAAAAAAACTACTTAGAATTTTACAAAAACAAAAGTTTCAAAATAGTAATGATATTTTGTCTTTTTTTTTTTTCAGTGTCCTGTGTCGAGTATCTACTCTATTCAGTGTTATACTGATTAAGTCGGAACAAATATTTTGTACTACTTGTTCCGGAATGTCAACCAAACAACTGCAAACAGTTATCATTTTGTAATATTTTTTCACTGGTTACTTTATAATTACTACACATACTGAAAATTGACTGCTAATTATTAGACTGGTGCCATAAGTATAACATGATCATTTTAGGGCTTTAAAAAAATTAAATGTTATTCAACTCTTATACATTTGTAATTTCTATTACCAGCCATATTTTTTGCATATTACATCTACTCGGTACCTACAAGTCCTACCATAAAACATTTGATACGTATGTCAATTTAGAGTTGTACATTATCCCCAACAAAACAAAAAACAGAAGAGAAAAAACGACACATCCTCAGCCCTGTGTATTAAGTACATGAAAAATATCATAAATACTTTCGAATTTTGAATATTATAAAAATATGTAATACTAAAAATTGCACAAAAAAAAAATGAGAAATTCAAAAATTGACAATTTCATACATTATTTTGTCGTTGGATAGAAGTATTTTTCTGATAAAAATGTACTATCCAATTATGAATATTTATCGATGGCAGATAAAAAAAAAATTGTACTAAAACAATTATGTGCACAAGTGCCGAAATTGTAAGCGTTTTGAAAATATTTTCAATTTATTATAATCTTAGCATTTTAGCAAAAAGTTTTAACGACAAATTGCACATAGAAAAAACCCAAATTTCGTCGAACCCCTTCCAGTTGAAGTTTATAACATCAATAGCCTTTAATTTCATTAAAAATACACATGCGATTTTCTACAATAATTGTAATGCATTTTAACGATTATTTTTTAATTATTTAGTTAGATAAAGATAGGTTTTGTTGATATCTTTAATAGGCTCGTTTTTATTAACTGTTTAAAATTCAATTTTTTTTAAATTTATTTGACTAAAGTAAAAAAGAACCGACTGTACTACAAGTACTAAAAAAAATAGGACAGTAATTTAGTCAAAAGGCAGTGTCCAGTTAATAGACATATTATAATTATAAAAATAATTTATTATTTTTAATTCAATTAATAATTTTTTTGAAAATGATTTTGGCACCTTAACGGCGATAGCACTAATAATACTCCTTTTCATCGCAACCACTGATCTGGGAAATCACCAATGGTTATGTCTCTGACTCCATCGACAAGTATTTGCTTTAACTAGTTAGACGCATTATGTAAAAAAATATCCTCAACAATACCCAACCGTGAAAAAAGGGCCAAGTTCCTTACACAAAAAAAAAAACTCAGCCTATCACAGTAGTGATATTATCTTCATTTTGGCCAAGTATGCTTTTTCTGTAGTCTATAACCTCACTTCACTCCTACTTCCATGGGCCACACTGTTTTTCTTATTTTTATTGCTTAACGCTTGGCTAGTTTCTGACTAACCTAACCCCTAACCTATCTTTGTGCAAAATTTCACGTTTCTACCTAAACGCGGTTAGGTGCCTTATAATTCTGATACTCAATGAGTCAGTAACAACAATGCAAACTTTTGAAGTTCTCCTTCCAAAAAACCCTTAAGCCTTAAAAAAATGCTTAATATCAAGGGCTCAATTTTTCACAGTGTATTATGATTTTTAAGATAAAAATATGGTTAAAATGTCAAAAGCCCGTCTCATAAGAGGAAGCATAATGGCATTGCTGAAACTTGGCCTGCACACTGCTTTGCGCTGATATTTATTTAAAACTACAAAAAAAGTCTTGAAATACCTTATTATTATTTTTTTTTTTTGCCATAAAAGTTGTGGAAAAGTATTGTGTGACAGTTTATTTAGATTCTTTTTAATAACCTAAAACTCAAGCTTGAAAAAAATAATCGATTTCACACTGCTGCTTAAGGATAAGATGCTCATTTTTCTTAAAATAATTGCAGGAAGGATGGAGTGTAGTATTAGTTTCATCTGCGCATTACTCAACCGCACTTCACACCCGTCCTAAATTTTTATTTTAATAATATTAACAGTAATATTATTCGAAACCGGTTATCGATCAAACAAAATGCTCAGCAAATCATTGTTAATTTAAAAAAATAACAAAATATATATTATGTTGTCACTTCAGTTTCAAAAGTTAATAGTCATTTGGAAAAAATAAAATGATAAAAATGTAAATGTATTGTCTAATATTGTAAAATAACATACAACTTAAATGTTTCCAAAAATGGAAAAATTACTAAATTGAAATTTGTTTGAATAGAAAATGAGTGTCTTATCCTAGATGAATCCCACCCTGTATAAGGAACATGCTCACATTTAATAATAAGCTATTGTATTCAAAAATAATAATTAGTGATGATAAAATATGTTCTATGAAAACGAGTATCATGTGATATACCTAGGTAAGTATTTAGGAACATCTGAAGTTAATAGGCCATCACAATATTTTTGAAAAATAAATTATATACTTATTACAAAATATGTTGTTAAGTATTTTAATTTGATTTTTATTAGTAATTTTAATTACAGAGTGTTGATCTCCATTTTGTATGATCAATGACTAGGTATTTTACTATTTTTGGAAAATTATTCAAAAAATTTGATCGATCAAATTTCTTATGGAGACACTCCTTAAACTACCGAGCTAAAGGAACGGTTTCTGTTATATGCATAGATTTGAATTGTGTCTATTTTATTAACCGTAAAATTTTCTTAGCGAAATTAGTTGTTGTTCTTGGTAAAAAGTCGCCGTTAAAAATAAGAAACCAATGACCACCGTGTGTTTATTATTTATTTTTCTTTGGAGTATTCGATTACATGGATTTTAAAGGTTTTCAATTATTTTTCATAGCTGATAATAATAATTATTCGAGTTCGAATATTTTATTTGAGCTGTTAACAATTTTTTCGGTGTCGGCACAAACAAGTAGGTATATTATTTTTTACTAGTTTAAGAAAGCCTGTTTTTTTTAAAACGTTTTCTCGTTCGGTTATTTGTGATTTTTTTATTTGTTTAGTTCGAACTATTTTCTTGAACGGTAGCGCTGTATATTTACTTAAGTTAAAGCAAATACCTATGGTGTCTTCTAAAATGTTTGGTGTGCTTATGATGATTCGATTTGTTATTTTACCTCTCAAGACATATTTTAACTACAATGCAATTAGAGTTTAACGCATAATTATAAGTATACAAGTAGCAATTTTTATTTTAGCCAAAATCCCTGTGTTGTACAGAAGCCAAAGATAATAATAATATATAGGTGTTATTATATTTTACACATTATATTATTATACAGTATTTTACACAATGTCTGTCGCGTTGCTAACCAAATACAAAAAAAAAAACACCTGTTGGTCGTGTGTCGATTTTCTAAGTTGTACCATTATGAGAACAGTCGTGTTTTACAAAAACAATATTTTGTAGTTTTACTTACATTGTATTATTTGTACGATTTAAATCGCTTTGGCGCATACTTATCTGCACAATATACAAATGAGTACAAAAATGTACTCACCTATTCAGTGCACTAAATTGGAATGTTAACACAAAAAAAAACACCAATGACTGATATTGACACATTGTTACAATTGTTTACCAATCTGTTATATTATCACTAGTTTTCAGAACTTAGTCCTAAAGGTTTACACAAAAAAGCGAAAAAATAAAAAGTCGCCACCCCTTTGAGGAGAAACGATTTATGATGTTTTATTGGTTAATCAATATTTATCAGTGATACTATGCCTAAAGAGTATTTCATTTTTGGATGTTTTTCTCGATTTTGAAGGGGAAGGGATGAACTTTTAAAATGTCTGATCAATAGAGCAGTTTGAAAGATATCGTGTGTCCAAACACCAAAACTAAATAAATAATCCATATAAAATAAAAACACATCATTCTAAAAATAATACCTTCTCAGCTCCATATCGAAACTATGTATCTACATCTAATAATATATATATATATATATATATATATATTATTTAAATATATTCTTTAGAAATAATTTATATAGATATTAATTTATTGACAGTGAATTTGTATGTTACTGAAAACAGGGTATACCCATTATACCCTGTTTTCATGTGGGGTTATCTGCGACTAAAAATAAGTTAAGTTAGGTAAATTGACTGTTATAAATCGAATGTAAAAATAATTTATACAAGTGAAATAGTACTTTATGTGCCCTTATTATACATTTTCAAAAAGAAACAGCATTAGTCGCATTTTTTAATTTTGGCGGAGAGGCTGGCTGATTTAAATAAGACCGCCGAAAGAGTTTATTTAATTGCCGTCATATATTTGAAAAGACTGAAGACATACATAAATGCGCACCCGCAAAAAAAAAAAGCTGCAAGTTCATATTATTTATGTATCAAAAATACTTGCTGTTGTTGTCTATACTCACTATGGTTCAGCTTTTCAGTTTGCATTTCCATTTTCCGTTAGAAGACTGTTATCAATTTTTATCACACTTTCGCAGTAAACGACATTCGTTCTGTTCTAAATGTTTCTAAAAAACCGACAGGCATTTTTAAAATATCTTCTTTTTTATTGAGTAAAAAACCGAAAAGATAAATAATATTATAGGTAGAGTAATCTTAATTATTTTGTTTCTTTTATTCGACGTACTAGAGTTTTTTTGAGAAAAAGGCGCGTGATAAGTGCTATGATAAGATGCTATCACTTGTTGTCACGTTGTTTTTAACAGTCATAATATTTTGTTTTTCCAACAAAAAAAAAAACTTGGGACACTTATCTGCCGCTTAAATAGTTTAATCTTTATATTTTATTTTAATGCGTCGGTGATTTTCAATTAAACGACATTTACTTAAATGCACTCAATTATTGCGTTGTGGATGATACAAAAGTATAATAGTATCCTATTAACAACGTCTATTCGTTTCTTGGATAAAACCTAGACGTTTTTTGAACACAATGGAAGCCGGCAGTAATCTCTGAATGTTAACCTGATCAACATTTCATAACATCCAATATTATTACACGATCTGTCAGTCATAAGACGACGTCTCTGTTCAGCAATGAAGTCTTATAAATTGACCGTTCACCAAAAAGCTTTTAGCAGTAAGTAATGATATTATTACCAAAAACATCGGTTGAAAATGTACGTATATTTCACAAATCACTTTGACTTTTAGGCTCAGAACTCATTGTGAATCGCAAAGATTTTCCCAATGCCGTTGAAGGAGATATTGTTGAGGTTTATCATTCGGACTCGGAACACAATAAGCTATTGCTGCAAATTTTGGCTTTTAAAGACGATCTCCAAAGCAAAGGTGAATAAAACATTATGGTTTCTCTACATTGTGAATTATATTTTTAAAAATTGTGTCGTAAGCATTTTGGGTATCAATCCATGATTTCTTTTCGATGCGCTACTAAAAAAAAAAAAGCAGCAGTTAATTTTACAATAAAAAAAATATCCTTTCAAAACAAAACTGTATTGTTTACAGATACAATTAGCATTGAACAAAGTATAGCCAGTTTGTTTCAATTAAGAGCGTACAGCGATGTCACCGTAAATATAGTCCGTCCAGAATCATTCATACTTGACACCGTTGAGCTAACATTCAAAGACCAGTATCTCGGGCGTTCGGAAATGTGGCGTTTAAAGAGTTCAATGATCAACACTTGTGTATATAACAATAAAAAAATGGAGTTTTACGGTGGATATATTCGTGTGCAAGTGTACGAGATGTGGGCGAAGGGGAAAATAGTGTCGTGTGGCGTTATCAATCACGATACAAAGGTTTAATGGTGTTTTTTTTCTTAAGCAATATTGTAATAGGTTTAATCGAAGCTTATTAATATTTCAATGTAATAAATTAAATATTGTACTTTTAGATTATTTTCAGATCGGCGACTAGTATGGTCTATGTCTTTATACAAATGAGTTCCGAAATGTGGGAGTTTAACTTCTTAGGCGATACTTATTTTGAGAAGGCCGTGGACGGTTTTCTGTCGGATTTGTTCGAAAAATGGAAAGTAGGTTTTTCATTTTTTTTTGTAATTTGGAAATAGTTACGAGTTGTATAATAAGATAAACAAATTAAGGTTGCACAAAAAACGGTTAATAATTTGTTTTATTCCTTGCTATTTTTTCGTTGTAGTATTTCGGTAGTAATCATGAAGTGACTTTAGTTCTGTTTTCTCGAGTATTTTATAAAGCTAAACACTTAGACGAGTTCCCGGAGACGATGAGAGAATGTCTTCAAGTGGACTACAAGAATCGTTTCTATGAAGACTTTTACCAGTTAGTCTCATAATATACTATCTACTTCTATAAATTCTACCTTTATATATTTTTTTTTAGGGTAGTTGTTCAAAATGAACGATACGAAGATTGGTCTGCGGCATCGTTGATGTTACTTCGGAGGCATTATTATACTTATAAAAATGACGTTTTAAACTATCACAATAAAGTGCTCCGGGAGTCTGGTATTGTAGCCGATCGAATACCCGAAGGTTACTTATCTCAAGCGCCTCAAGGAAATTTCCTCGAGGTATTGAATATGGCGTTGAACGGTAAATATTGAGTTAAAATTTAACTTATTATAAAATGATCTAAACTTGTATATTGTTATTTTACTTTAAAGTTATCTTATTTCAAATTTTGCCGTTTTTATACCATTGATTTTACTTATACAAGTTTTCGATTCCATTATTTGCAATTGAAAATTAACAACTCAACACTGTTTGTTTAGTTTTTGAAAAACATTATATCGAAAGAAGCTTGGACCGAACCGGACAGTTGGCCATTGTTATATCTCCGGGAATGGGTGAATTTTATGTCGATAGACAATTGACAAACGTGACAAAACAAAGAGTGATGGACAATGGAGTGGGAATTGATTTAATTTGCGTTGGCCAAGAACCTTTATATGCAGTTCCGCTGTTTTTGGTGAGAATCGTTTTCAACAACTTTTAGTAAGTCCAAAAAGGTAACGCTTTGATTTTGTATTTTCAGTTCCAAAACCGCGATGAATCATTGGGCGACGATTGTAGTATACCGCACTGGATAAATTTAAGGTAAGTGTAGGGTTTCACAAATAATTGCACAGATTATGTTAGCATATCGATAATTTAGTATAGAATTTACATTCGACATGATACATTTGGGTTTTTTTTTTAGCTTCTACAGAAGTAAAGACATGCCTCCAAAGTCTGTGTTTGTGCCACGCATAAAAGTGCCCAGTCGATTTTCGAACACCAAGTTGAATCGTCCTAAAACTGGTTTGAGAGTGATGTTGTCGACGACCAATTTACCAGCTTCGATGCAAATTGGTTTTACGAATTGTGCCGAAGACTACATGAGCTACGATAACGACTTGTTTGAAAAAAGGAAAAGATCGTATTTTCCTCGATTTAGGTAAAATTAAAAATTGTTTTCCTATTTCCAATATTATTGCAACAATTGCCAACTGTTTTTCAGAAGTATAAACAATATTGTTCCGCCTGAAAAAAATCCAAGCAGGAAAGCGAAAATCAGTACATTTAGTTTCGACGCGTGTTCAGATCGGTCGGCGGTCGTCTCTAGCCGCAGTCTCTCACCTTTCAAACAACGCAGCATAACTCCGCCGCCGAAAAACCCTTGCGACACCAATTTATCACCGTTGAATAGTATGTTGTTGTAGTGTTGCCTATTGTTTACTCACTATTGACGACCCACTTATTCAATTCAGGAAATAGAAGCCAGAGTATTGACGATGGGATGAAAAAAGTTGAAAAATATGACGGATTAGATGACGATCAACTAAAACGTGTCAGTGAGGGCTTCATCGAACCTAACCGTGTTAGGGGCCTGATAAATCCATTTGATAAGTCGCAGTTTATTTTCAAGTTGACATCGAACCGGAGACGATGGAGTCATACGTTTTCAGAAAGTAAGATTGTATTGTTTTGATAAACGTATAAACAATAACCGATCGTACCCGATATAAAAGTTTTTAAGCTCGTCTATAATTTTAGAATATAATAAATTACAAAAAGCCAACGAAGATGTCATCGAATTGGTTGGCAACGCCGAAATGGACATTGATGAAACCACCGATCTGGCTATGAATAATAATTGCAAAAAAAATATTGATGGTAAATTGCAACCCCTCTAATATAGTCTATAACACAATTCTGATTAGCTACGCTATTTTATCTAACGTTCATGCTTGTTTCGTTTTAATTTAAGTCAATATGGATATTGAAAAATTGTTAAAAAACCGAATTGAAGAAAAACAGAACGTCCAAAATGTCCATCAAACAACCTTTGGTGATTTTGATTGGTTAAACCGGTTTTCTCCTGGTTTGTATTGCATTTCTAGTCGCAAACAAATAGTATAATAAATATCGTATTTGAAAATATATATTTCTTTATTTAAAGCCAACCAAACCCGGATTAAAAAAAAAACTGGAATCTTTTCAATAATGTTCTTTGGACCATAAACAGTAAAAACTATTTTCTATTATTTTCGCAACATTTTAGTAATTCATTTTTTATATAAAATAAAAATGTATATTAGTTTCGATGCGGAGCTGTGATAATTGCACCTGTTGATATTTGCTTACTGTGATCTCAAAAAGTAAATAAGCTGCAGCAACAAAAAATATCTATAGTTGGCTTTGTTGAAAAAAAATCTGATTTATGATACAATTTAAAATTATTATGGATTATTGAATAAATTTAACATTTAGAGTTCCTCGTCGTGGCATTTGTTTTGGGGCTTTGAAAGGAATTTTTTTTTCTAGTTTTGGGATTTAACTTGTTGACACCAATATATTTAGTTAGCTGTCATTTTCAATACGGGTGTGAATAATTTATTACTAAAATTAAAATTAATAAAGGAAATTGTTAAAATTGGTATTATTTGAGGTAAGTTAACGTGATAAATTAACTAAACGGGTTTTTAATCCGGGTCGGTCAAAAGTTATGTTGTATGTGCATGTTGTGTAATAGTTTAAAATCATTCTATTATTACCTATTATGTATTTTTCGTTTATAAAAACTCGTTAATTATATCAGTATAAATTAATATGTATATTGTATATCTATTCTAATAAATTGGCATTTATTTAGGAGTCGATTGGAAATCGCTAGTGTTTCCCGCGTGTCTTCCCATAACTACGGACTATTTTCCCGATGACGTCACGCTTCAGTCGTACTACGTATTTTCCAACTACAATTTGTTACCCGAAGACGTCAATGCCGATTTCGCTCAGCAAAGAGCCGTTTACCGACAGCCGCTATCCACTAAACAAGTATTTTATCAAATGGTGTCTCAACGTCTAGCGCAGGTGAGACGGTTTATTTTTCTTCTACACAAGTAGATGATCTTGCCAAAGTATATATTTTTCTTTTTATTAAATTTGGATATATTCAATAACTTAAGACCCCACTCTTGTTGATGCTTTGTTCGAAATGTTTTTATTTAAGGGTTTCCAGTTGGTCGTTATTAAAACCGAAAGTCAGGCCGTGGATCAAACAAAAAAAAGGATAAGCAGTATTGTGATGAGGTCGACGCCGCCTATCGCCGATTCGTACGTTGAGATGCGTCTGAGCATCGGCAGGATAGTTCATACGTTGACCTTATGCGATTCAGAAATCCGAGTCACTCGGTACCGACCTAGGTAAGCACAAAAGTTGCATATAAAATTAATAACGATGTCTTCAGGTAGAATATTGATAAAAAAAATAAAATTTAATAGTGTTTATAATGTTAACAACATCCAAAATTTTGAAAATAAATTACAACTATTATTTTGTTGGCTTAAAATTTACATTTTATTTGTTTCTTACAAACTGCTTGACCCTAATCCGATTTCAGGTTTCCCTATGCGTCGTTTGAGATACAATATCGATATCGTTTTCAAGCTCCAGATCATTCGACGTACGGCATATCGTGGATATCATTTGTCACCGAAAAACTAGAAAACTACAACTGGAACTACATGGACCATTATCTGTGTACTCGCGGTGATACCGATTACGCTTTGCATGAGGTAAAATACTAATCACAATAGTTGCTGTTGTACATCGTGATCGTAAGAGACATAATTTTATTTTGATTTGTTAGAAATTAAAATACTGGCGGTTTCGAATGTACCTCCTTCCTTATCGTCTCGAAGCCACCAGCACCATTATGGAACACTTGAACGATAATGTCTATTGCGATATCTACAAGTCGCCGACAACTGAAGAACAGTACGGTTTTACGAATAAATTCATCAAATTCATTGAAACCTGGGTGAACCGCCTTAAGCGATCGACAGCAGTCGCTAGCGCAAAAGTAAAGTATACAGTCAACTTTTAGGTTTTTTCTTCTCGATGAAAAAGGAGTGACTCTAATTTTAGGGTTGTTAACGACAGCGTTACATCTATCGGTAAATTTATTAAGTTTTATTTTTTTATTTTGACAAAAAATATTTTTTATATATTCAATTGGTTTTTAATCGTGTACCGCTTGGTCTTCTAGTAATATAATATTACGAAGCAACGTTTCCAGACGTACAAAGTTATTTGTTGAGGTATCTTCAAACATTTTTATATAAAACAATTTGCCTATACCTATATGTGTTGTCTTTGTAAAAATGTAAAAACTAAAAAACCAATAATAATAATACAAATAAATATAAATGAAGTGTAAAATATACTAATTTAGTCGCTTATCGTTATCGCAAATAATAGAATTCAGAGTTGTGACAATTAAGGTAAAACTTTGGTAGTTCAACCTATCAACTTAGGTTGATTTTAACACATTTCCTTACTATAGTTATATTATGTGTGTCTTAAGTATTATGAAATATAAATTTTGCTAAAGTGTAATAAAGTCGAAAGTAATCAGTGAAAAATAGTTTTACTAGATTACTTTTTAGTCAAAATATTAGCATTTTAAATTAATTTTTTAACATGTATATTTTTTTTTCTTAGAACACCAACGAAACAGCCGCCGTGTCTCCTTACAGAGATCGACTGAGTTCCATTCGCAGTAACGGCACTGAGAAATCGCGTCCCAGGTTAGTTATATACTTTTATGTTATTTTATTGTCGTTGATAATAACACAGACCGAATTTAAAAAAAAAATTGGTGAGTTTCCTGTCTACAGGAACTCAACAACGAATCATTCGTCTCACTTTTAGTTACTTTGTTTACATGGAAACTTAGCCCCATATTTTTTCATTTGTATTATATTTATATTTGTTTAACCAAGGCGTTTTTAGTATTTTAACTGTTTTGATATAAAGAAAAATCTAATCAATAAAATATGTAATTGAATCTTAAGATTTCAGAAAAACAAAATCCCCATAATCTAACCCACTAAAAATTCCATATAAAAAAAATAACAGTAAAAATATTGAATTTGTTTATAAGTATTTGTTTTTTTTCCGTCTAAATTCTATTATTTTTATAATTTTTTTTTGAGCTTGGGTATAACTATGTTACACTCAGTAATTTTAAACGAGTTTTCATTTTTGCAAAAATGGTTCACATGACTTTTAAAAATGTATTTTTTTTAATGTTTCTTAGCGCTAACTAAGTTATATCACCAAAACGGGAAGTTACTACTATTGTAATTGGTATTTATTTAATTTTACAAAATTAAAAATTGTATTCAACTCGGAAACAAAGCACTACTACCAAGCACCTACGCAAAATGTATCAGATAGTTAGCTAGATACCCTTAGCTGCATTTTTACTTTTGATTAGCTTTAAGCAGGGCTTTGACTGTAAATAAGAGGAATACGAGTTCAAGTGGCGGACAGAATTTCAGGCTGATTTAATTAGACATTTATTTTTACCAATGTCTTGGCAAGACAGATTACTTAATGCATAGCTCCCATATCTTTGCGTTATCGGTTTCGACAACCGTTACGTATAGGTCGGTGGTTTTTGCTTTCGCACTAATCATCATACATTTTTTTTTTTTATAGATCGGGATCCAAAGTATACGATCGAGGAGCAGTCGCCGCCACGTCGGCTGATAGTCTAGCCGACGACAACAACACTATCGACGAAGCCGAAAGGTTTGAATTAAAAATTTTCTGTTTTTGCAATCCTAAACCACCGTTTACTTGAGAGGGCGTCGCACCGGTGATTTTCAGTGGTAAAAACATGTTTAAGCAGACTGAAAATAACTCGCTTAATTTTGGTTTTAGAGTAAAAGCACGTCTGCTTAAACGTGTAGAAATGAAAAAAAAAAACATTTTTAAATCGCTTTCAAGGATGCCGTGATAGTCCGAAAAATAAATTAACTACCAAAATAGAGTCCTAGTTGTTGAACTAATAATTACACATTACAGTTTAACATTTAAATTAAGATTTTGTAAAATATTGCCTATACTTTACTCCTTAAAAATGGACGGTGCGACGCCCTCTTAACTATTTTTTCTATTTGTATCGTTGTTACTTTTTTTTCCCCTCGCAAGTAAATCCGTCTCGAATTTATCGAATTCCACGACACAACCGGTGACCAAAGAAAACCTATCCAACTCGGATTTGGCGGAACGCATGTGCAACACCCAACTCGGCGGTGTAGGTTTCGTCAACAAGCACACGGCCGGTTTGCCGGCAAATACTTTTGTCAGTAACGATGCCGTCACGTGGCTCATGAACAACGATGTGTCGTACAGCAGACACGAAGCGGTCGACAGGATGCAGGTAAACCGTATATCTCACTGCTGTGTGTGTGCGTGTGTCTCTCGGCACGCTTCATTCCAAGAAGAAAAAAACTACAAAATTTGTATTTGAAAATATTTAGCACAAAAAAGCATGTAGAAAAAAAAAATGTACCCAAGCCGTCCCCCCTAATTAATTAAAAATACAGGTGTCTCAAAAAGAATGGTGGGGTTTTTAAACGGCTGTAGGTTGTGAAGTATTGGACTTACAGCGCTCTGGTAGGGCTTGAATGAAAGAGGGAGTTGTCAAGTTTCGAACGACTGCCACTAGATGTTTCACTGTCGCAACTGAATTACGGACGCCATCTTAACAAACTGAACAACGAATGCTGGCGACACAAACGGGAACGCGGAGAGACATGTAGTGACGGTCATTCGAAACTTGACAACTCCCTCTTTCATTCAAGCCCTACCAGAGCGCTGTAGGTCCAATACGTCACAACCTACAGCCGTTTGAAACCTCACCATTCTTTTTGAGACACCCTGTACATATTGTGTAATACAAATTGTCATCCCTATCTTTATGATATTAACCTAGTATAGAAGATTGAAAATAACCTTATTGTGGAAATTCTAGGAAATGTTGAACGAACATTTAATTTGTCACGCTTCCGGTAACTACGATCATCCTTTTATCGACGGATTCTACATGTATTATTTTATTCCCGAATCGTTACTCCACTGTAAGTCGACTGTGTACAATTCATTTCTACCCTAGTACAACCTGTGGCTGATCACAAATGTAAATTGTGTGATGTTTTCAGTATCGTTTCCTAAGCACGACTTTCAAGCTTTCGAAAACGAATGGGTCGAAGTGGAAGTGAAGCAACCGATCCCGTATCTCAACACGGCTTTCTTGATGGATCAGCTTTCGATAGAAGACGACGATCTCAAGCACAATAGCAAATGGCGAGGTAAAAATCAAATTAATTGATTTTATAGATATCAACCTAGCTGTTTGGCACAAACCCCTACTAGGCCTGCCGGCCTTCAGTTTACTACCTATTGCAAAAAGTATTGTACTCATTCTTAAAAAAGGCTGTTCGTTTTGCCAATGTTGGATTGGTTTTGCAAACTCCAAACTAATTTATGGAATTAGCAGAGAACGTGCTTTGCTCGGGTATATTTTGGTTGAATAGAGTAGAGAAATATAAGTAACTGGAAAGTTTGGCAAAAGAAAAGACGGTTTGTGGGTATCCGGGATAGTGGAGTTTTAATGTACAAAGTTCAAAATGGGTAATCACAGCATTATAAAATCAATTTTCTTCTCAGCCTCGCATCGAAGCCAAAAAAACTGAGGATAAACAAAAAAGAGCACGGTAAAACGGAGGAATTCCCAGTCAGCTTAAGAGTTCATCAGGGATTAGCGTCATATCCAGTGATAATTACAGTGGAAATACAGTATTTTAGTGTCTATAGTTACGAGGGTACAGAAGTGTGTGCTGTTGATTTTGAGCAATAGAGGAGCATAATGGGTAAAAACTGTTGTTTCGATTACATAGAGTTTAAGTTTAATAATTTAGTATGAGATCGACAACCTGGTATGTTCGAAAAACAAGTGGTAAACGGAACGTAGTAAAGAAGTGGCGTCCATAGCAGGAATAAACAAGATAAGAATAGATTGGGTTGGTCGTATAGGCACGTCGAAAGGTTGGAAAGTAGAATTAAACATGGTTAAGAGAACTAACACGTTAATATCTAATTGAAGGCGGCGTGTGTAGTAAATGGTGGTGCCTGGTCTAGAGCAGTGCACGATTGGGGCAGTTAATTTGTGAACTTTCACGGCTGTGTACGGCTTTTGTATTGTTTGTTTAATTTTTTTTTTTAGTCCCGTGGTACAAGGAAGCTCATTTGGAAATGGACGTTAACAGCAAAAGTGATCGCGTGGAATGGGGTCACGCTCGATATCAAACGCTATACCGATGTGATCGAGCCTATGAAATCATGGCCGAGTGGGTTGCCGCGTCTGGTTCGATTGTAGCCGATTTGGTAATATTGCACACCGCAAGTCGGGTATACACAAAACACTTTGCCTAGGCGCCGGCCAATCGATTGTCGTCGTTATAGATTTACAATTGGGCTCGCAAAGCTCAGAGCGGCGGTTTCCAATTGATTCCTCTGCCAGCCGACCCGTTTGCTTTGCCGTACACGTTGAAGTCGGATCCTCTGCGAGGTCCAGTGTTCGTTCCTCTCAACTTGGAATGTCTCATGCCCGACGGCGGAGTGAGTTTATTTCACGGTAAGTCATACTTTATCCAGCACAAGAACAAGTAGGTTTTCTGGCGAAGCGAAGCCACTCTTTTCTGCGGAATGAACCGAGTTCATGAGTACCTTAGTATGGGCGGTTGATTTAAAAAAAAAAAAAAAAAAAAACCTGACTCGAACACGACGAAAAAAGTACTTGAAACCCAGCACTGACTGACTAAACCTGAAACTTGGTATTATTTGTGTATGAGGCTACCAAATAAATATTCGTTATGCATTTTAGCTCGATCCAGTCGTTTCTCTCGATACTATATCAAATTGAAAAGTCATCCGATTTTGTTTTTTTCCGATTATCACGGAACGAACTTTACTTACTTTTACCCCCTTCAAAGCACCAACTAGATAAAAACCTGTTCGTTTATTTAGAGTATCCGGAAGATACGTGGCCGCGCAGATTGCTGTTGCTCCAGCAATGCATTTTGTACCGTTTCGGATTTATTGTGATATGCAATAACAATAATTTGGTTGAAAACGCCAACCGCGGCGGATCTGGAGGCAACAGCTGTGGCCGGAGTCAGCAGCAGCAGCAGCAGCAGCAATCGTATCACAATCAATACATTCACTCGACTGGTAAGTAACTAATAGTATAAAGTATAGGGTTGTGAAAGAAAATTCTTTGTTTATAGAACGACAAAATTATATGATAGGCCTTTTTGAGCCAATCCAGAACCGCCCTTATAGTACGGAGAATCCCTTAGGATTCCTATGCTAAAACGACAAACCATGATTCCAACGTAATCTAACCTAATACTTGGAGTCCTGAACGATTATCCCGTATTGGTATAGTTGGTATAATTACTGTTAGAATTATTGTTAGCTCTGTGGCAAACTGCCGTTGTTCAAATGGTCCAACAACAGGTGCTTTGACTGTGTTTGATTTGCGCAGGTAACGTGTTCGTGTTGATATTGTCCGACTTGATTAGCGACGAAGCAATGGCCGACGCAACCGATGCGTGCACCATGGAAAAAGAGAGCGATTGTCTGTCGGCCGACCACGTCAACGGGCTGGACGAATTGGACGTCAGGAACGGAGGGAATCACCATCAGAACCAGGAATTGAGCCAGCACCAAGAACACCATTACCTGCAACAGTTTAGCCCTCACATGGAGTACGTGGTATCGCGGCACGTTTACCAGCGTCCAAAAGAAAACAGCGATGCCAAACGAGAAAACAGGGTATGAATGCTCTGTCGATTAGTTTGAATGAAATTATACATAGCCAATTTAGACAAATTGTCTTTGCGTCGCTACTTACACTACACAAGTTGTATAACCCGTTTAGTTCATCTTGAGTCCTAGCTACGCGACCACTGAACTAGTTTTCATATAGTCTGTGGTCATATATTTGATAAACCATAGAAAAAAACCAATTCCATCCCCATTCCCAACTTCATCCCCATCCCCATCTCTTTACAACAGCTTGCGTACGAGTCCGCAACCACGGGAGACATTTTATCTCTAAACTATTATTTCTTATCTCTCTTATCTCTTATCAGGTAAATCATCAGAAATTTTCGTTATGATAACACCTGTCGATTTTTCCGGTTGTGTGCCAAAGCAAAGACATATAATGTCAAAACAATAAATATCACGGACAAAACAATAACTGTCCACAAAATGGCAGCCGTATATAGGCAAACGCGTTCCATATATTGAGTTCAGTAGACGCGGCGACCGTTACGTTAAATTTGTGGGAACATTGTTTTTTTTTTTTTTTAATGGCTTTAAAAATGTTATGCCAACTGGATTATTAAAAATGAATTTTGAACGTTACTTTTAATAAAATATGTTATTTATTATAAATTATTTTTTAACATAAATATGTTATTGGGCTGTGGGTCAATCGAAAATCTGTGCGTGCTTGCATCACGCTGATCAGTGCTATATCCACTTTATATGGTTATATGATTATAGATAAGATATTAAAGATAAAAAATGGAGATAGTAGATTAGAGATAAAAATAGAGTTGATGGATTAGAGTTAAAATATGGTCCATCTGGATGCTGGAGGTGAGGTAAGAGATTAGAGATCTAGATTAGATATAAAAATAGAAAAAATGAATAAGATAAGAGATTAGAGTTATGAGATGGTGCAGCTGGATGCTGGAGGTGAGGAGAGGGGAGGTCAGAGGTAAAAGATTCAAGACAAAACATTCGATATTAGTAAGTACTAAAAAGTACCAGGGTCCAATACTTGTATATTAAGACATATCCATGCTCCCATGTACTTCCGTGCAGCGGAGGTCGTGTCCATTTTTTTTTTTTTTTTATCAATTTATGTCCACTAGGTCGGCTTCTTGTGGGCGTGGAACCATATGGTGAGCAGACGATGGAAGTGGTCGAATCCGGCAACGGGCGATGAACAGTTCCAGAATCGGCTACTGGAAGACTTTCGAAATTTTTGCGCCAACAGCGACGGACGTCTGGTCCGGTATTGGCGCCATTGCAAGAGCCAACATCAAAATATCAGTAACAGTCCAAACATATAAACTTATGCTTGACGATGCCGTAGATGGGTGTACGGTGAGTTCGGTAAGACGGGCGCATTTCAAATGTATTTAAACTGAATTAACTACTTAAAAGAATAACTTTTTTTTTTTATAACATTATTACAATAATATATATATATATATATATATATTTGTGTTGGAGGATTATTAGTTAGGCATTCGCAAACCAGCAGAATCATATTTAGGTTGTTGTGAAATTATATTATGTAATGTGTATTAGTTGAATTTTATAAACAAATTTTGTACGGTTAAACAGAGAAAAAATAATGTTCCAATATTGTAAAAGTATTATATTTCCAATACCTAACATATTTTGTTATTGTACATTTTGATTTTTTTTTTTTATTATAAATTCATTTGTCTATTGTTATTTGGTAATATTTGTCTAAGACGTATCATTAAATCTACTCTTGACTATTTGCAACAACTTCATAAAAAGCAAAAAACAACATATCTGTAAGCAAATTCAAGAATACACTCTAAAGGCTAATCCGGTGGCGCCGATTCCGTACCTGAACGGTAGCTCTATTTGGCTCCAAGTAACAGCTAACCGTTGTTTTCGTGTAAATTGAGAGAAAGTTTTTAATTTTAAAAATTGCATCAAATTTAATGTATGCTTTAAGTAACTATATTATAACTTGGCCATAAGTAAATCCAGATGGTGTGGTGGACTGTTTGCATTATCGGCTGACATTTTAAATCGCACCAAATAAAAATAAAATGGCACATATTAAAACCATGCAACGTGAACTGAATATTGAAAAAAAAATGCGTAACTTAACATTTCATTTTTAAAAGTACTGTCGATAAACATTAACAAACTAAAAGAATAGACCCTATCTCCTAGAAAAAATAGAAACTATGATAATATTTCTGTTGGCCAAGGAAAGTGTTAGGTCTAAAGATCTGAACATTTGTCTAAGGTTGGACAAAATACAGTATTTTGTCGACTAAATAATAAATACAAGATACGTGTAACTTAAAAAAACTAATTACAATTATCTTAAGTTAGAAGATACAAAATACCGGTTCAAAATCCAAAATCCGTAATTATTAATAATAATTGTGTCTGTATACACTGTATTTTTTTTTAATACTGGACCAATTCCTTCAATTAGTGATTTGAGGGGGGGGGGTAAATGTTCTCTTTAGAGTTATTCTAGTAAGTTTTTAGTACTTAAGTACAAGTTTTATGTCTTAATTCTTTTTTTTTTTTTAATTAGCATAAAAACGTTTATTTGAAAATGATTTGATCCGAGTAAGCCAGTACAGTGGGGTCGAGGAATAATGGGATCAAAGCATAGTGGGACGAAGAAGTCATAGGTCTACAGGAATTATTATAAAAAAAAGTGATAAAATCACTTTCAAATAAACGCTTTGATGCTAATTCGTAAACATTACTCCTCACATTAATACTTAGAAACTGTGCTTGGTTTGGAATTTTCTGGTTTGAAAATGCTAAGTATTGATGCCCCACTATGCCCCGCCCCTACTGTACTGGCTTTTCCATATGTATTCATTTATTAAAATTTTAAATGTATTTCGCGGTATGAAATTTAATATATGTGTTGACTAATAGGGTCGTTCGGTTTTATAGAAAGTATTAAAATATATTCTTACTTACAATTAAAGATGTTTTTTTGTTTTATCAACAGATATTGTATATTTGTAGTAAATACATTTGTTTATGTTTTTCGACCGTACAAACGCGAAGGTGAAAAATAACAGCAATATTTGGTAAGTACGCCGTAGGACTAAATGTTTTAAAAGAGCTTTGTGTAAGCAACGAAGGTATTTTGGTAAAATATATAGGTTTATTGATGTATAGATAAAATGTATACGATAAACATGTAATAAGGTCATACTAAAAAAAACTCTGTGAATCCGAGTTTTCAAAAAACATAATATCAATAATTTGTTAGCGCCTCGCACGACTATTTGTGTACAGAAGAGCTTCACGTAAACGACGACGGTATTTTTATGAAAAATATATCGATACGTCGCACAAGTACGTTGAAAGCCACATCTACCAGTTGAAGTAAGTAAAATTGACCCGAAGATCGATGAGAGGTAATAATTAATAAAAAAAATATTGTAATATTTCGCAGGTTAAGCAATTGTAAGAAGTGACGACAAAATGGCATTGTTGAAATCATGGTATGTGATTATTTTTTTCATAATCGGTGTACGGTCTTCCAATGACAAGGAACAAATCGAGAATCATTTGGAAAAAATACAAAGCTTAAAGTATTTGGCTACCGGTTACAATAACCAAGAACAATATGAGCGTGAAAATTTGGAAAATAATTCAGGCTCTGATTTGCTGAGTAAAATATCGGACTTGTATGTCCACCTGGAATGCGGATACCTTTACAGCACTCAGTTTCATTTAAAATTAATGGGTGATGCGGTTTTCGACAACATCAAAAACATTCTTACGCAGGAGACAATTGAGTATTTTTCGTTTGATAAAGAAGCGTCCATGATGCTCGATTCGTTGTTGGATCTAAAAAAATATTCAGCAAACAGTCTATGGTTGCTTTTTATATACGCCCGTCAATTAAGCGTTTTCTTCGGACAAATTATTAAAGACGGTGGTACGTTTAATTCGGAAATTTTAACTGAAACCCAACGGATGCACGAGTTCGTGCTAACCGAAATAGATAAATACTTCGACCGCTTCAAGTGTCCATGCAAAAACTCTTTTGATATGAAACACGATAAACATTTTTCACTTGCAGACGAACAGCTGTCTTTATTTTATAGTTCAAGGGATGAAATTCCCAGTGCAAACAATGGTAGCGTGATAAATGCAATACGACAGAACAAAAAGTTACTGCATGAAAACTTCGAAAAAAACCGGGTTAAAGGACTATTGCAGTTCTGGATGTCTGAATCGTTTTCGGACGGCTTATTTATTTTTCACGACAAGGTAACATACAAATTGATTATTGACGAATTTCTGGCCGACAATTCCGATCGATTAACCTTCTTTGAAAATGCACCTTTTCCGAAAATCATAAGTGGGTTGAAGGGAGTCAAATCTCTTTGGAAGAGACAGCGTCTAGTAATCGGCACATTGAAAATAATAATGTTGGAAATAATGTTGTCGTATACTATTCAATCCAGCCGAATTGACCAGTCCAATGACTTTGTAACACACACGTCCTCGTTCAAAAATGAAATCATAGGCAAGTTTATGGACTTAATGTTGCTGAACGATAACAAGGCATTCGAAAAGGTCTATAAAAAATTCGCTAGCTGCTCATCGTACACGAAAAGATTTCCTAGCTTTGACAATTGCATGGATACTGCTAAAAAAGCCATTGAATGGTTGATTGAGAATATTAGGACGAACATATATTTACCCAAATTCAAAACAATATTGAGCGATTGTGAAGGCAAGAACGTAATAGAAGAGCCTACCGTTAGTGACTTTCTTAGAGTAGGCAAACTATTTGTCGATAAACTTGAAAATCATATTATACCACATTCAATCTGGTTGGTGCATTCTTATGTGGGTCTTAAATCCATGATAAAATGACTATTGTAGCAATGTCTTGCGTTATAGCATCGTGACTTATTATATAAATATTATATAATCATAAAAAAATAATTGTTTGTATTACAATTAAGGCACTTTTATTCAATCATAATGCACCTTTAATTTTTATTTAAGTTAGGTGGGCTTATTGTGGGTTAATTGAAATTAGTACAAATAAATACAAGTATATGTACAATAAAATAAAGCGTTTTATTTATTATAAATCAGCATAGGAACATTGAAGGTTAAACGTCACGAAAAAAACCCTCAGTTAAAACCCATTTGGTGTATGAATTTTGATCTTAAAAACGCGAAGATGAAAAAAAACATCAATATTTGGTAAGCACGCCGTAGGATTTATTGTTTAAATAAGAGCTTTGTGTTAGCAACGAAAATGTTTTGGTAAAATATATAGGTATATTGATGTATAGATAAGATGTATACAATAAACATGTAGCAAGGTCGTACTAACAAAGTACCATGTAAATAAGAGTTTTCAAAAAACATAATATCAATAATTTGTTAGCGCCTCGCACGACTATTTGTGTAAATAAGAGCTTCGCGTAAACGACGACAGTATTTTTATGAAAAATATATCGATACGTCGCAAAAGTACGTTGAAAGCCGCATCTACCAGTTGAAGTAAGTAAAATTGACCCGAAGATCGATGAGAGGTAATAATTGATAAAAAAAATATTGTAATATTTCGCAGGTTAAGCAATTGTAAGAAGTGACGACAGAATGGCAGTGTTGAAATCATGGTATGTGATTATTTTTTTCATAATCGGTGTACGGTCTTCCAATGACAAGGAAGAAATCGAGAATCATTTAGAAAAAATAGAGAGCTTAAAATATTTGGCTACCGGTTACAATAACCAAGAACAATATGAGCGTGAAAATTTGGAAAATAATTCAGGCTCTGATTTGCTGAGTAAAATATCGGACTTGTATGTCCACTTGGAATGCGGATACTTTTACAGCACTCAGTTTCATTTAAAATTAACGGGCGAAGCGGTTTTCGACAACATCAAAAACATTCTCACGCAGGAGACAATTGAGTATTTTTTGTTTGATAAAGAAGCGTCCATGATGCTCGATTCGTTGTTGGATCTAAAAAAATATTCGGCAAACCGTCTATGGTTACTTGTTATATACGCCCGTCAATTAAGCGTTTTCTTCGGACAAATTATTAAAGACGGCGGTACGTTTAATTCGGAAATTTTAACTGAAACCCAACGGATGCACGAGTTCGTGCTAACCGAAATAGATAAACACTTTGAAAACTTGAAGTGTCCAATCGGAAACTCTTTCGATATAAAAAACAAAAAACCCTATTCAGTTTCAAACATTGACAGCGTGAAAAATGCAATACAGCAGAACAAAAAGTTACTGCATGAAAACTTCGAAAAAAACCGGGATAAAGGACTATTGCAGTTCTCGATGTCCGAATCGTTTTGGGACGGCTTGTTTATTTTTCATGACAAGGAAACATACAGATTGGTTATTGACGAATTTCTTGCCGACAATTCCGATCGAATAACAGTCTTTAGGAAAACACCTTATCCGATAATTATATGCGGGTTAAAGGGAATCAAAACCCTTTGGAATAGACAGCGTCTGGTAATCGGCACGTTGAAAACGATAATGTTGGAAATCATGTTGTCGTATACCATTCAATCTAGCCGAATGGACCAGTCCAATGACTTTGTAACAAACACAAACAAGTTTGTAAATGAAATCATAAGCAAGTTTATGGACTTAATGTTGCTGAACGATAAAAAGTCATTCAAAAAGGTCTATGAAAAATTCACAAACTGCTCATCGTACACGCAGAGATCTCATAGTTTTAAAGAATGCATGAAGGTTGCCAAAGTAGCCATCGAATGGTTGATTGGGGAATTGAAGAAGAAAGTTCATTTACCCCTAATCAAAACAATATTGAGCGACTGTGAAGGCGGCAACGTAATAGAAAAGCCTACCGTTAGTGACTTTCTTAGAGTTGGCAAACTGTTTCTCGAGAAAATTGAGAATAACATTATACCACATTCAATCAGGTTGGTGTATTCTTTTGGGGATTTTAGGAACACGATAAAAGAACAACTGCAGTGATGTCTTGCGTTATAGCTTCGTGTCTATACATAAAATATAATCATATAATCATTAAAAATATAATTGTTCATAAGGCTACTTTTATTTAATCATAATGCACCTTTAATTTTTATTTCGGTTGTCGGTTTATTAAAATTAGTACAAATAAATGTATTTTTGTGTACAATATTGCGTTCTATTTATTATAAATCAGCCTAGGACTTTTGTAGGTTAAGCGTCACGAAAAAAAAACCATGTGGCTTTCACCAGATTTTTTGTCAAAACAACTAGGCAAATATGATAACACAAAAACGACTTTTCTAAAAACCGACTAATAGATAGGAAGTACTTATTGAAAAACAGAAATTTGACTTTTGTAGTAGTTCAGAAAATGCCAAAGTAGCAATTGAATACAAGTAGACTTGATTGTTAGCAATGTAAACGGTGTGAATCTCATTCTGACATTGTTTTTTCGGTTTGGTATTCGTATTATTTACATGGAACATGTCGTATGATTTAAATGCTAATATCTGTGTAACAGCCTTGCTCTACTGGTGCGCTATTGTATACCAAATTGTTAAAATTATTTTTATCATCAATTACAACAAATATAACATAACAATATAATTACATAATATGTAAATATTACAAATAGTAGAAAGAAAAAAAACAATTTTTATATAAGATTTCAAGCTCACCGATAACTTTTTGGGCGGAGGAAGGTCTGCTAATTGCTTTGTAAGTAAAAAAAAACCAGCACAGTAAGAAATTACCAAATTGTGGTCCAGTATCCACAGATTAGAATCTAAGCGTTTTCTTGAATGAGATTTTATTACTACCTCTGAATCACAGATCTAAAAGAAGTGAATATTTCTAAACTAGTTCTATATAATTTATCATAATATGATAGATGGTACTGTAATTAGGTAACGGTCTTTAATATTGTAGCACTTTGAAAACAATAAAAACCATTTGACAAGGAATTGTAATAATTTTCTATCAGGCGTATAAATATTTCTCTGTAGGCGTTACTTTAATTATTAGTTGCTTTTCGATATTTTTTTCTATAATTATTTTTTAAATGCAAAAGCCTATCAATTGTGCAAACGTAGAAAACGTTTTCTAGTTACTTCAGAAAAACGGTTGAATATACAGGGCGATTCATTACAGGACGGGACACTAATTTTCTCTTAAATTAATAGCAATTTTGTAATTTGAAAAATGAATAAGAACTTAAAGTATTCGTGTCAATAAAAGAAAATTTATCGAGTTAACAGGCAACTTTTCGTTCAGAGTTACCTACATGAATGTTTTGCAGAGAGAATGAACAAAGAAAGAAACGAAAAATAACTTGTCACTGGTTACGTTAACTCTGAGGTAGTCAATAAAAATATTAGCACACAAAATAGTATTGTACACGTTATGTCGCTTCATGAATAAACCTTCATAACGCCCAATTCCCGTACTCAGACCGTTGCTTTTGGCTATACTTTTAAGTGTACTCCTTGACAATTCCATCGAGTCGGTGTCATTGCAGCTTACTACGCCAGAAAAGGGTTCGCAAACTGTCTTCAGCACATCCATTCCGTTAGCGTGTATTTTTGCAATACTTTTATGTTTATCGTTTCTTGTGGAATTTAACAAATCGCTGAACCGTTTCACTTCGACGTCGCTCGTTAAACCCAACAATTTTGTGAATTCCTGAAATTTTTTATTTATCAACAGGTAATATGATCTGTATCTATGATTGATATTCCATAGCCGTTGAACATGCATTAAGTGATTCAAACATAACCGTAGCATCATAATTTTCAACATCGAAACGAAATGAAATTCAACGTCGTACAACGCTTTGATGTTTTGTAGTAACGATTTCGAATCCAAAAACGTTTTGTACCCGGTATGGAAAAACGTTTTCAAATTATTGTCTTTGGGAATCAATCCAAATTTCGTGATCAACGTGTCCATGATATCGCCGTTGCCGAACACGTCGTTCAAGTGCAGTTTATCCATTCTTAAATATACATCTCTCCTCGACAATATGCTGTTTCGATACATTTCATATGCCGTAAACGGGGTGGAAGTTTTGACGTTTTTCTCCAACTTTGACGGATCATTTTCCTCGGTTATATCAGCAATGTAAGATTCGTATACTCTACTTTCGGGCTTGTCTATAGTTCCCAAGTCGGGACAAACCGATTGCAACCCGTTTCGCAACACCTCGAAAGTTGCATTGTGCATGGACTCCAATTCAAATGCATTCGATTCGGTTTGCTGGTAATACGCCATATTGTTTTCGACTTTATAAGTGTAAAAATAAAACACCCACATAGGCCACATCATCGCTGCAGTTTGTCGAGAATGTGACATGACCACTAACATCTTACGTGCCCAGTAATGATCAGCGTGTGTTTTAACGTACTTTGCCAGTTCGTTGAGCTCTAGTAATTGGCACAAACGGACGTGTAAAATTGAGTGGTACAATAGATTGCATCCCCGCTGGTGGAATGATTCCCTGGCCTTAGGTGGTAAATCACCAATGTACCCGGCCATGATTAGATCCGCTTCAAGTTTTGGGCCCAGGGCAGTTGTACCATCGCCCGGAATCTGGACCGCGACAAATGATAATATTATGCCAAGCACAATAACCGCATAACGTACTAACAACCCGGCCATTTTTAATCCGCACCCCGATACTGACATGAAATTGCATTCGTTTTCTATGCTTAGTACGTAAGGCAAAATTCACACTTTTACCACAATACCGCTAGGTAAATATTTCTATAGGTGTTACGGTTTTTCATTTCCTGTTGATGTTTTTTTCTATGTTTATTTTAAACGCGGTAGTCCGCAATTGTGCAAACGAACAATAATATTATGTATTGTAAAAACATAATAATAGTGGGTCGACCGTTTACTCTATTCTAGGGGTAAAATAAAAGAAGAAAAAAAAACATTTTCAATACTGTGTTCCCCATATCAAAATTACTTTGTAAATCTTCAACGTCAACTTCATTATTATCCGAAAATGATATCCTTGAATGATTATACACAGACATAAGCCAGGAAAATGAATTCTGGAATAAGTTTTACCACATATGTGAGGCATTTGATCCCATTTGAAATCACCGTTGAGGCTATCAATTTTTCATAGATTTTTATGTAAAAATATATACATTCAATATAAATGTATGCTACCAGACCACTAATTCAAACATTAGACAACGTCATAACATATTGAAAATAATTTACAGAAAATGATAATTAAACAAATGTTTATTATTGCTTCTTTTTTTAATGACGTTTATTTATGAATACGAATATTTACAATCTGTTATTACATAATTTACTGACAAATTAATTAAACATTTAACCAAAAAATAATTGGTTTTATTAATAATCTTATAAGTTCAGTAACATATTTATTGAATTTAGCCGGTTACTATTAATTGTATGTATGACTGTATGAAATCCTTATAAATTACACAACTCGCCTGTGACGCCAACACTATGGTTATGGTAACCATTGCTGGAACGCATCAACGTCGTTGTACGAATAAACTATTTAGGGAAATAATTTACCGTACGATAGCCATTATGGATAAATAAAGTTAAGTTGGTCCGTGCCCATGTCATAGTGGAAACCGATTTGTAACAAATGATTAGTTACGGTGTCCATATAATACTTCATTAGGTATACAAAATATTCGTAGCGGTTACCACTGGGGAATCGTCTTCGAGCCTCGTTCGCTAGTAAGTCCATATCCAACCGCGGGTACGCCGGACGGCAGAAGAAAGTCAAAGATCTCATCAAGTTTTCGGTAAAGTTATTTATCTGATGGACGTAATCGTCGCCTTCTGGTGGTTCGTCGGCACACAGGAAATTCCGGATCGACGACAAATGTTGGTAAAACGCATCCGAGTCAGTGTTGCCGCCCATAGTGGAATGCGTGTACTCCAACGAGCGCATCACCTCGAACATGGTATACGAACCTCCTTGGAGAACCGCGGTGAGTTCGTTCCAACAGCGGCGGCCGCCGCCAGTGTTGCCAACGTCGGCGTTTCGCTGCGACGAACGGCGACACTCGTCGCACACGCAGCCGGCCAACGTGAGAAACCAATAGAATCGTACACCGTAATTGCATCCCAACAGCTTAGGTATCAGCCGCAGCTTCTTCCATGCCCGTCGTCGATAATCCGAATCGAGTAAATCCGCCACGACCTTCCAATCCATTCCGTCTCTGACCGAGCTGAACCACAAATCTGGCCAACGTTGTGCTCTGCAAACACCGTCCACCAGGTCGAGCTGCTCTTTCGTCAGCTGCACCAGCCAAGGCTGTGGCATGGCCCGTACCCTCGACGTTGCATTCTGTACGGTTGTAACGACGGCGAACGCAATTAAAATCGAAACTACCGAGTTATTACACTTCATCGTCAAATGGTTTGGATTTGAGATGATTTCACAGAATTGATGATATGACAAAATCTTCGTGGAAAATGTCTTACTCGTGCGCGGTCTGTACCGATAACTAGAAGAATGCCAGATGAATAGATTTGCGCGGTCGCGCAATGCAAAAAACTATTTGCCTGCTTCACAGACTAAGCATACAAATTCGTATTTACATTGAAAACTTAAAAATAGTTTAAACGTAACCCTGATATATTGTTGGATGCGTCAATTAAATGTTGTTTTTTTTCTTGATTTATTGCTTTTTTTTTAACGACTCGTCTTGATTCGAAGACGAATATTGGACGATATTTTCTGTACTTAACAACAGATTATCAAAGCTCGGCACGTGTATTGCAAAAAGCAAACACCACGTCAGGAACACGTGCATAAATTATTAGCATATTATTTATAAACAAACTATAAATTTTTTTTTTAATAAGTTAATAAATCTAAAGTCGGGTATTATTATAACATAATGCAATAAAAAATCATTATATTAATAGAAACAAAACTATCGAAAAAAGAATTGTAAAGGCGAAAATGTGCTTTGAGTTGTATTTTTTTAATATTA